TAATTCCTGCTTGTGTGAAACATGAAGCCACAAATAAAACACCTGTCTGTCCCTCATATCATGATCATTGCATCTTCCTTAAATTGTTCCCTTTTCTCTTTCAATGTCTTTGAGATGGAATCTTATTCTGTAGACCAGGCTGGCCTCACACTCTTGGTAATCATCCCATCTCGGCTCTGTAGACCAGGCTGGCCTCACACTCATGGTAATCCTCCTACCTCAGCTCTGTAGACCAGGCTGGCCTCACACTCATGGTAATCCTCCTACCTCAGCTCTGTAGACCAGGCTGGCCTCACACTCATGGTAATCCTCCTACCTCAGTTTCCTGAGTGCTGAGATGACAAGTATGAGTAACCACTCTTGACTTTTTTTTTTCTCTTTCTTTGGGAGTTTATAGAATTTTTCTTTCGTTTTAGATATTAATGAGAGTGTTGTAAGCTGTGATATTTTTAAACTCCTTTATTCGAGTCCTCCCTGTGCTCTGTGGTAGCTGTTCTGAATAGAGAGTCCTGTGTGATGTTTCACAGCAGGGATTCCTGGAAGGAGGACACAGAGATGCTGTAGATGTACATACAAAAGGCCGGGGGACAAAAAAATCCGCCAGCAGCAAGGTTTAATATACCACTGTCCTTTGGTAAGCTGGGAATTGCATGCGGTACTTAGGAGTATCTGGCTTCGGTCCAGCTCAAGCATCTAGATGACAGTCAGGTATATTATGAAGCCACAATAGGATGGAAGGCAATGGCTGATACCGAGGAGCAGAACACTGAAGTCAATGTTGGAATCCCAGGTAAAAGTCAGGGCTTGGGCCTTTCCTTTTATCTCTCCCCCCAGCAGAGATTCTCCCATGAGCATCTGGGGCAATTACACATTCATTCTCATGAGACTGCAGTCAGTCAAAGGAGTTTTGAACATCTTTATGCCTTGACCTGTAGTACAAGTAAGTCATGGGCACGGTCAGCCCGTGAATACATGTATTTACTCCCGTGTGGATGCCTCAAAAGAGAGTTGTAGGGGTTTATGGAGTCTTCAAGGTAGGAGTTAATTCTCATAAAAGGTGAGGGATGGAGAGGTAGGGATCCAGTTGAATTAGGCAGAGAGAGGTAGGGGTGTTTTGTGTATAGGGAGAAGCACTCGTAGGGAAGTGAGGTACATGTGAGGAACCCTGAGTAACTGGAGACTCTGCAGGGTTAAGGAGAAGCTGGACCGACCGCGTAGATCATAAGGGCATGTTGACACTGTTGTTTGTCATCTTCAGAGCAGATACAAGCAATCATGGAAGGCTCCGAAAGATTTTTTTAATTAATTTTATGTGTAAGAGTATCTTGCCTATATGACACTGTCCCATGCGCTTGCCCAGTGCTCACAGAAGCCGGAAGAGGGCACCAGATCACCTGGAACTAGAGTTATAGATGGTTATGCGTCATCGTGTGGGTGATGGAAATCAAGCCCAGGTCCCCGGAAAAAGTGGCTATTGCTCTTAACTGCTGAGCCGTCTCTCCATCCCCAAAGTGACAAGAACGGAGAAGTCTCGGTTACTCATAAACTGTAACAATTAGGGGAGAAGCCCTTCAAGGATGAAGCCTGAGTTCCAGGCTTGAATGATTGGGGGTTCACACCACGGTGAGGAGAGTGAGGGGAAGAGGGGAGGGATGTAATGCAGGAAATTGAAGGAAAGAAAGCAGGTTGCCATTTTGGACATGATTTTAATTTCCAGGTATTGAACAAGCCCTTTTCATTGTCCTAGGATCCTTTGGAACCCAGGAGCCTGCAGAGGATACAGATAAACGGGAGGACACTTCTGCATGATGTCCCCTCCCTCCCTCTCAGCCTTAGGGGTGTCTGGCTGGCCTTGCCTGATCCCAGCAGGAAGTGAGAGCAGCTGCCTTTGTTAGCTCAGTCTGGGAACCACCTTTCTTGTCTAGAGTGGGAGGCTCCTAGCCTATTTCAGTCTGTTATAAAAATGAAGTGAACTTGACCGCCAAAAATGAGCAATCAGTAAGGTGACCTGACCCTCTAGCAAGTGGACTGATGTAGACTGTCTCAAGACTTGCTCAGGATAGAAGCGCTAGCTTGGGGGTGGTAGTGGTTAGGTCAGGTACAGAGCTGCTCATTAGGCTGTGGCAGAAAGGACGGTGGTTTCAATGGCCACGCCCTCTGCTTTTGCCCAAGGAGCTGGCTTTCTGACCGCTCTGCTTCCCTGGCATCATGGCTCTCGTTTTGATTTACATTGTTAATGTGAGTATCTAACTTTCGTCTGGGAGATGTCCACTTGAGTCTGATTTAGTGTTACATCCTTCTAATCTCTTCAGTTGACCCTAAGGCGCAGCTTGATGCAGCTGGGCTATAGCTCCTGTAGACGCATTTTCAGGAAGGCAGATTTGTGATTTTTCTTTACAAGGAAGGCAGTGAGGGAAGAAGGGAGAGTGGGCGTGTGGTGTGAGTGTGATAAGCTAGTGGGTGTGCAGTGTGAATGGGTGTGTGTTAGAGGTATGTCAGCACACACACGCATACACATGCGTATAGCAAGTGTGTGTGTGTGTGTGTGTGTGTGTGTATGATGTGTGCATATAGCAGCTTGTGTGGGGACTGGTGGAATGAGGCAAGCCCTTGTAGTGTTAAGATGGGTATGAATAGGGACCCTCACATATGAAGAATCTTGTCCCTTTGTTAGCAGACCTCATCAGAAGCTGGGAACTACCTCTCCTCGCCTGCCCTCCACCTGCATTTCCTCAGTGTCCAGTATTATCAATCCAGCAGCAACCCTCCCCAGGAAGGAGAGGTGGGCTGGGGTAGAGCAGCTGGCGGATGGGTTCCCTTTGGGCGCTTGAGTTTGGGCTCTATGGTGAGCAGCTTCCCTTCTGGGCTGGTGGTGACTCAAGGATATATACTTCCCCTTGGCCCTCAGGCTCCTCAGCAATGGGTGGCCTTGCTCAGTCTTGAGGCCTTGGCCTTCACATGATTGTAGGAAGAATTGAGCCCCCAGAAGGTTTATGTTTCTGACTGCAATGGGTTCAGGGCAGATCAGCATGGAACTCGTCGGAGAGGGATCATGGAAACTCCCCCTGGCCTGGAGGGCCTTTGTAATTGGGCAATCATGAATGGTGTCATGCCATCTCTGGCTGCACAGGTCATTGACATACTGCTGACCTTGCAGCTCCAGCAGAGCTCACTGGGGAGAATTGCTAATCACAGAGAAGCTGTGACTGCACCTTCAATCTAGAGGTTCTGTTGCCTCAGCAAGGTGCAAGGTCCTTTGCCAATAAACCCATGTACTTTGGTGGGCTCCCCCAGCCGCCTGACTACAGCGTGCCCATGGCTTACCAGCCAACCCATCTGCTGCTGGGAACTTCATTCTTCAGTGTGTCAACACAAGCTGTTGGTCAATACTAGGGGAAATCCGCTTGTTCCCAGTGTCATTTGTGAAACTCTTTTGACTGGAACGAGTCCTTAGCTCCAAGTTTTGGGAAAAACTTTCTTTTCTTGTAACCACAGGAATTATCTCTCAAACATGGCTGTTTCTATTTCTATTAATGCAATCTTTGCTTAGGTACATGTTAGGCTATCCAAGGCTAACTCCTTGGCTAATTCTTGAACATGTAGATGAGGTGATTCAGGGAAGTGCTGTGGTCTGGAGTGAAGGACCTGTCAGGAAGGGGGCACTGTGTTTGATATGATCCACCTCTGTGCATGGGCATAGGTACTTACGCTATGTTTAAAGTCGTGATTAATCGATCAATCAACTCTTTTTCCTGTGGAACTAATTGTCTGAGTTTATGCTAATTGGGCAGCAAAAAAAAAAAGCGACTGGTATTAACCTGTTGAGAGTGGGGAATTAATTCTTGTGTTTTGCTTAATTTTGCATTATTTGATTAGTTTTTAGCAAGGAAATACACGTTAGACATTCACCTGAATGCAGTCTAGCTTGGTGGATAACTTCAAAGTATCATCAGGGGCAGGTGTGGGGGATACGTGTGCGTAATCCCGGCACTCAGGAGGCTGAGACAGGAGAACAGGTGGTTTTGAGGTCATCCTGAGTTAGATGGTGAGTCTTTCTCCAAAACTAAAGACAAATAAAAGTACAATTGGGCATGGTTGCACACGTCTTTAATCCGATCTCTCAGAGGCAGAGACAGGCAGGTCTCTGTGAGTTCGAGGCTTGGTTGGTCTACAGAGTGAGCTCCAGAACAGGCTCCAAAGCTACACAGAGAAACCATGTCTTGGGGGAAAAAAGTACAATTGGATAAAAAAAATTTACATAAAAATTATTAGTCCATTTCTCCAGTTAGGAACTTAACAAAGTGTCAGATAACTCAGAAAATTCCAATAATTAAAAAAGTAGCCAGATGTAGGGGTTCATGCTGCAATCACAGCCTTTGGGAGGCTGAAGCAGGAGAGTTCAATACCAGCCTCGGTTACATAATGAGCTCCAGGCTTTAAGAGTGAGGTCCTGTAAAAATACAAACAAAAACAATACAAAGCAAAAGAAATACTCCAAACAACAACAAACAACTCCAAAAGTATGTATTTTTCTTAGGGTATTTATTTTTGGCAAGAACTTTTATGTAAGAGGTGTGTGTGTGTGTGTGTGTGTGTGTGTGTGTATGTGTGTGTGTGTTTTAATTTATTTAATCTTACTGATGAAGACATTGCAAGGAGAAAAAGGAAAAAGCCACTTACTGTGCCATATAGACGGTGGCAAGAATCTGTAGAAGGACCTTTTTTTATTCAGATGCCTGTGTAGCTCACGCAGGGCTTTGTTCCATAATGAGCAAGATGGAAATGGACGAAATAATTTCTGGTTAAGTTGCTTATTTATTAAAAGCTAGAAACTATTTCAAAGCCAGATGATACCCCCTTGGGCCTTTAATTTCCTCATCTGTAAAATGGGGAGATAAACCGTGTGGCCTCAGAGTCTGTGTACTCCTAACCTTCTGTGATTAGGGATGTTGCCCTTAATCTCTCCTCTTAATTTTTCTTTGCTTCTTCTCCACAGTATGTGGGAAGCCTGGATGTGCCGAGACCCAACAGCAGGGTGGAGATCGTGGCTGCCATGCGCAGAATCCGGGTGAGTGGTCACACAGGTGGGGCTGTGTGTGAATCTGGAATTCATGCTTCCTTGCTGCTGGCCCTTTCAGTCAGAGCTGAGAGCCAGAATGGATGACTGCACCCTCCCATGCCCCAGAGTCCATATTCCTACATCCCTGGAGACTGTTGTGAATTGTGCAATAAGGACCAAAGGTTGAAATGGAAGTGATGGCCGAGCAGTGTCATCCTCCCTGTCCTGCAGCTCTCCAACTGACATGCTTGTGGGGTGGCTGGCTAGGCAGTAAAGGAGAATGGTGAAAGGTAGAGCAAAACTTTAGAAAGCATCTAGTAATTGATCAGCAGAACATTTTAAAAAAGGTAATTTATTGTGGTACAGAATAAAAGGTTTAATTGAAATTTTAAGGCTGGATATGAAATTTCAACAAAACTTCCTAGGTCAGCTGCTCGAGGCTTCAGGATGTGTGAGCCTTTTGGATGTCATTCCCCTTCTCCCCCCCAACACACCCCACCCCACCCCACACCACACCACCATACTTTCCTGTGTGTCTCCTGGAAGAGTTTGCTATACGTGGAAACCCACTGCCTTCTGACTCTGGTCCACAGGGCAAGACACCAGAACAAGAGAACTGTGTGCTTTGGAGGTGGGTTTGGGATTGCTCAGGCGCATTGAGGCTGTGTTGTGGTGGAAGCTGGTGTTAGGGTGACTGGCTTGGCCATATCTGGGTGCAGCCTGGTTTGGGTCATTGTTCTTTGGAGTGATCTGTTCACGAACTACAAGGGAAACAATAATAGGTGCTGGGGCTTCGTTTTGCTTTTGTTAGTTTTCCTTTGAGCTGGCTCTTTATCCTATCATCAGAGAGCTCATTTCAATAACTTCAGTGCTGGGGAGAGTGTAAACATGCTTGCCCATGGATTTCTGCATGGCTCAGTGATGCTTCCAGTTGTTCAGCCTTTCCGTCTTTACCAAGTTGAATTGATTGAGACTGCTATTGCATAAAACAGTACTGACTTCATGGACTGGGTAATTAGAAAACTTGGAAGTACTTTGATGAGAGTAACTCCACTGAATGGTCACAGCATTAGAGGAGCATGTCATGTCACCTTCTCGATTAATCTGAAGCTCAAAGAAACATGGAGGCCCAGAAATGGACATGTGACCTGAATGCGTTCTATCACTTGCTGCTTGGTCTCTTGGAAAAGCTGTAAGTCTCACTCTGCCTTTGACTGCATGTCTGGGCCTCAGTACTTCCAGGCTTCTTTACCCACCCTCCCCTACATGGGTGGAAGCAGAGGCCCTGTGTTGTGCTTGTTGGTGTGATAGAAAGATTGGGCCTGGAGCAGCTCACACTCTGGGGTGTCCACCAAAGTCCTCTTTTATTTATGTTGGACTGATGGGTAGGGAGTGGCCATTGTTGATATTGCCATCATTGTGAAAGTGGTGTCTCCTCCAATAGTAACAGCTACTTCTGTGTCGGGTGCCTTTTTAGATATTTGGATATTGAATATATTTCATCATGTATGGCTACTTCAGATGTTCTTAGTACATTTCGTGGATGTACTAAGAACATGGAACCTTGGGCAGGTTAAGTCCTTCAGTGGATGAGGACATGGAACCTTGGGCAGGTTAAGTCCTTTAGGTCAGGCTGCTGTTCACAGGCAGCTTGAGTGTAGGTGGACTTTTCTTTCCACCTGCCAGTTCCCAAATAACCCACACAGAGACTTAATATTAATTATAAACCGATATGACATATTCACACTGTGGAAAAGAATATTCCACACTTGGGGGTTCATACTCAATTCTGCTCTGTGGCCCCTAGTTCCCTGCTGAAGGCTCTTTGGAATGCTGGTTATGAGTCTTGACCCTAGTTTCCAGAGCCTTCCAGAAAGGGAACCCATGGCAGAAGCACAACCTAGAAAGGACAGAGGCATAGGAAAACGTTACCTGGAAGCAGGGCCAGGCCAGACATGGTGTGGTGCTAGCCGGTCATGGAATCTGCAGGCATCTGGGGCTGGAATGTGGAATGTGAATCCTCTCCTCTCATTACCTGCCATCTCTGGCAGCCGCATGCCTCTTCCTACAGCCCCCTCTGTGGGAGCCGCTTCCAGTGCTTAATGAGGAGCTCATTACATTAGAAGGAGAAATTAATTGGTCAGAAAGTTGTTTGGGCTGGCTGTCCAGTGGCTTGTGTGGACTGGCTGCCATCAGCAGCAAGCACTGTGATTGTGTCTTCTCCGCCAAGCCCCACAATTCACTGCTAGGTCCAGGCTGCTATTTTCTTCTTTCTCTTTGCCTTTCAAAAGCTGTTTGGGCTGTAATTACAGCTGTCAAGAACTAGGGCATGGGATTTCTGTGTAAAGGACTAAAACTGACACTGTCCTTTCATGTTGCGTGGTGCTGGGCTAATGCCGTATAGGACACTGCAGGCTTTGGTTGCTGGGTACTCTGCTGGGCTTAGAAGCACCAGGCCTCCGGGCTGGGCCAAAGAGCAGTCGGTAGTCTTGAGAACCACTATTGTTAAGAACCTCAGAGCCGCAGGTGAGATGCCAGGGCCTTGCCAGGTCCTTTCTTTTCCTTTCCTTTGTTTCGTCTTTTTGAGATGGTCTCCCCATAGAGCACAGTCTGACCTTTAATGTGAGATCTTCTTGCCTCTGTCTCCTGAGTGCTGGGGTACAGATGTGGGTCACCACGCCTACCATTGCGAAACTCTGGAGATCTTATCTCCTGGTCCTCTCTGGAGAGCTGTGTTGTGAAGTGGCAGTGAGGACTCTTAAGTCTCCCAAAGGATGCATTCAGGGAGTGACTGGGTATGTCTGGCAGTGTCCCCATTCTTCTTAGGAGCTGAGGTCTAGTAGGTGGATGCAAACTTGCTCATCTCCAGCCCCATGCCCCAGGGTGGACTTAGTTAAATACATACATACTTCATCATTGACTGCCATGCTTCCTTTGCCCTCTATTCATTTTTCATTTGGGTTTTCACCTTCTGCATATTCTTTTTGGATTTATGGCATCTGTCAGAGACATTTTTATTCCCCCCCTTTTAATAGGCTTCTAAGAAATGGATGGTGAAAGTGCATAGCACTAAATTTTGTTTTTTAAAGGTGGATACCTCAGTAGTTAAGTATATCTAGACTGTTGCATCTAGGATCTCCAGCCTTCTTCTGGTAAAACTGAAACTATACCCATTAAATATAATCCCTTCCCCCTCCATCCCTACGTAGCAATCTTCCTACCTTCTGTTACTGCAATTTTGACTACTTTAAAGACGTCCTAAGAAAGGAACCATGCATGCAGTATTTGTCCCTTTAGGTTGGCATATCTTCATGGTCCATCCATATTATATAGGGTCAGGATTTCCTTCCTTCCTGAGGCCTCCTCGTATTCCTTTGTGTGGTTAGACCACATTTTTCTTATGTGTTCATGTACTAATGGGCATTTGCTTCTATCTCTTAGCTATTGTGAATAGTACTGTGTGAACATGGGTGTGTAAATGCCTCTTTGAGAACCTACTTTTTTGTCTATATACGCAGAAAAGGGATTTCTGAATATGATAGATGAAATATTTGAGCTGGCATCTCTTTATGGTATCTAGGCTGGTCTTGAACTTGTGGGTTTAAGTGATCCTCTTGCCCTAGACTCTTGAGCAGCTGGACCCATAAGCATGCCACTGTGCCTGGCAGTATCTCTATTTTTTGAGCAACTTCCAACACACTTTTCATAATGGTTTCATTTTGCCTTCCCACCAATGATGCAGAGCAATCCGTGTTCTATGCATTAGCAGTAAAGGGAAAAGAAACTAAGAATGTGTGTGTGCAATAGGAAGACTGGGGAGACAGGAAAGCCTTGGTGGCGGTACAGAGAAATGAGCCAGTGATGATAAGTGTTGTTACCAAATGGCTTCTGAGATGAGGCTGTCACAGCTCTGAGAGGTCTGATCCTGGAGGAAGGGACCACATCCCATCGCAACCGTCTTTTGAATCTCCAGGGTCTGACACGATGCCCAACTACCCTGTTCTCAGATGTCAACACCAGTCCCTGCCACTTCACGTCAGTCTCCTTGGGAAGGGTACTCAGTATAGTCAAGAGGGCTTTCAACAAAGAGTAATGAGAGTTGGCCTTGAGTTTTCCCCTTGACTTAATGTGTGACCTTGGCAAGGCAGCTGACTGCTGTTAATTTCCATTTCCTGGTTTATAAAAGACAGCATGCTACTTCTCATCCTGTCCCTCTGGTGCTATTGTCAGATCTGGGGTGGTGCGTGAAAAAATGCTTTTTAAACCATAAAGGGCTATTTATATTCATCGCTATGATTTTTATACCTTTCCTTTGGGTTTCAGAGCGTTTCATACATGCAGATAAATACCCTGAGACTTTGAGCTGCCTCATCTAGCTGCTTTTGATGGCTAGCCTCTTTAGTGCAAGCATTCCTTCTTTGGGGAAGCCATCTTGAGTGGCTTTTTTTTTCCTCTCAACCCCCCTGCCACAACATACCCAGTCACTGGTAGCATAAGAATGACTGTATTCCTAGGGTCCAGCACATGACCCTGACTTCCCATTGGCTTCATTGTCTATGGTGTGGGCACATTCTGGTCCACACTGCAAATGGTTTCTGAAATGATGTGCTATGAAATCAATGTTTCCTTCTTAATGTGCCTTGATTTCTCTAGTGCGGCTGCACAGGAGAGGGGTATGTGGTCAGTGGCTTGATTACAGGAATTTGCCATGTCCTCTTCCTCTCTCTGCAGCTGCCACTTTTACTAGTTAGTTCCCCAGAACTTTTCTCAAGGAAAACAAAAGGATGGAAAAACACCCTGGGTGCTTTCTTAAAGCCTTCTTAAAGGCTTGCATTGGATGTATTCTTGGTAGCTCATCAGAGGCTGGTAGCTTTGTGGAAGATTGTGACTGTAGCTATGGGTCCTGTCTGTATGATCCCTTTTGCCATGGCAGTGTGCTTCTAATGTGGCCTTGTTACACCCCTGGAAAACTCAGGCCTCCGGGGTCTCAACCCAGGACCTCGGTCACC